GAGCTACAGGGCTTTTCCCCAGCAACATAACTGCTCCCAGTCTGTAAGACCCTTACGGTCTAACAGAGCTTGGAATGGAAATCCTGATGGAAGGAGGATACCACAAAGGGGGGTACGAGGCTGTAAGAGCACTGCTGTCTCTGCTTTGGTTTTTTCTGCTGCTCTGGCTTGAGCTGTGTAACAGAACCCAGCTGGAGAGAGGATTTGAGGCTGCAGACTGTAAAAGAGTCCTAGGTAAGCGTCTCTGAATGCCAGCAGAGTGCATCTGATCTGGAGAGCCCTCTGCCCAAAGGCTTTGCAGGTTTATACACACCGTTTGAAAGGACCTGAATCTGCAGCAGGATTTGTGCACACTGTGCAGCTGTGTGTTCCCAGCACTTGCAGCTCACAACCGTCTGCTGGTGTGAGGGAAGCAGTGTTATGTGCTCAGGATGCTCTTTAAATACGCTGGTGAAACTGTGCGTGTCCCTGGCTTGTGCTGCTGGCTGCTGGTGACCTGTGCAGCTGTGCATAGGTACATGACCATAGCCCTGTCAGTGTGGCCGTGTGTCACACCGCTTGGTGCTTTCCAGTCCTGTGATGGAGGAGAGGGCATCAGCACAGCCAGAGCCAGCAGCACACGGGGGCCAGGCTCTCCAGCCCTGTCTGTGTCCGTGGAGGGGTTGGCTGGGCTGACAGAGGTGGTGGTGCAGGCGAGTGTTGGCTCAGCAGGGCAGTGCTGGCTCAGCAGGGCAGTGTTGGCTCAGCAGTCCCTCAGCTCGCCGTGGGCAGTTCTTGCTGCACTCGAACACAGCCGAAATGATGCTGACGTTTCTCTTCCTCCTGTCCTTCCTCCCAGCTCCCTGCAGAGCAGTCACCCCGTGAGGCAGGGAGGCTGGGGAGCAGCTCTGGTGTCCGAGAACCAGGGATTTTGGTCTCTGCTTCCCATTCCTTTTGCATCCAGCTCAGTGGACACTGAGTTAGACTCTACCGGACTGAGGTGTCTGTATTGACCTGCCTGCTCTTTAGGTTGCAGAGGAATATAACTTGTGTTTAAAGCCCATACAGTTACTTGTTACCTGCTGGTTGACCTCCCAGGGTTCTGCCCCACTGCTGCAGGAAGACAACTGGGGAGGCTGGGACTGTGCAGATGGTTTGCTCTAGGGACGGCCACTTCACGTGCCACTGAGCTTTGCTTTGAGCTCTTGGTTCAGAAGGACCCCAAATTCTTGTTGTAGCTGCCAAAAGTCACCTGCTTTCATTTGAAATCGTGCGTAACCTGGAGACATTGCAGGCCAGGCTGGAGGTGGTTCTGGGCAGCCTGGTCTGGTTGAAGATGTCCCTGCTTATTGCAGGGGGATGGACTGGATGAGCTTTGAAGGTGCCTTCCAACCCAAACCATTCTGTAACATCAAGGTTCCCTCATTTCAAGTCAAAATCAAGTCTGGGCTTGCTCAGAAAGGGTTTGACCCAACATTCATTGAAGCCATGAAATCCAGTCACTGTTTTCAGTCTTTGGAGCACTGTAGCCCTGGGAGCGTGCAATGGATGCTCTGGTTTTTCCACTGAAGCTGTGTGTAAAGGCAGGTCAGACTCTTGTCCTCTGTACCCTGACAAGAGACATGTCCCTGATGGCCTGCACAGCGCTGGGTCAGAGCTGACATGCTGCTGCTGCAGCTCAGAGCATCACTCAGAGCAGCTCTCTGGTGACTGCAGGGAGCTGAGCTTGGCCGCAGTAATGCCAGGGCTGGTTCCAGCAGCTCCCATCTGCCTGCACCGCCTCAGGGGTTGGCTCCTTGGACCCAGAGGTGGGAAGTTCAAAGAAGAGCCTCTGTGAGTGGGGATGGGCAGCAGAGAGAGAGCCAGGCCCTGAGTAAGCAGAGCCAGTGCATCTCTGAATGTGCCTCCCCATGAGCTCCTCTGGGGGGGGTGGAAATCTGCTGCTTCACGCAGGGAGAAGTTGTGTTGGCAAGCTGTGCTCTGGTGCCTGGCTTTGTGCACAACATGGAAATCCTTTCCTGCCTGGTCTCTTCTAATTCTCTTTGCCGTCAGTCATTGCACATGTCATCAGTGGCTGTGGAGAAGACAGCACAGTTGGGGCACAAGCCTACTGCAGCGTCTGAAAAGCAGCATTAGCTTAAAGCTTTGCACATGAGAGCTGCTGGTGATTGACAGGACACACAGTGCAGTCATTGAAACCAGAAACATGTCTGCTCTGGAACCTCTTCCGGGTGTCCAGGATTAAAGAGCAGTGCTGGTGCACTTTGGTAGGTGCTGGGAGCCTTGTTCAGCAGGCAGCAAGAAGAGGACTTGTGCAGCGTGCTGAGGGCAGGCTACCCCAGCCTGGCACAGCACCCAGCCTGCTCTGAGCCGCATCTCTCCAGGTTGGGATGCAGGTGACACAGTGCAACCCAGCAGACTCCAAGCAGCTAAGTGTAATGCACTGGATTTAAGTGTGTGCCATGAGTGTTGCACTTGAAGGAGCTGGCTTTGTGGCGCTGCTGTCACCTTAGCTGATGTCAGATGCCAGCCACTTACAGTATGCGCCATCACAGCATGACTGGAGTTGGCACCACAGAGTCAATCACATGCCAGCAGCCTACTGTAAGGGTGGGGAGTGTGTGGGAAGATGGGGGCGAGAGACTCTTATAGAATGCTTTAATGATTTATTTTTAATAGCCATGTTTCAAGCCTTGGGAAGCGCTGTCCATATGCTTTTCCCTCCTGGCTGTAGTTGGCAAAGCAGCTGACGAATATGGTCCTTCAGACTCCTTCCATTTTGCTAGCAGCTAGGAATACAGCTATATTTAGCGTGTTACCAGGGCCAGCAGCAGAGGCTGTTGCTGGGTGGTGATTCCCTGCCTGCAGGTTCACGTGCCACGCGGGGCAGGGTGGAAATGTGCCTTCCCTGGAGGCAATGTTTGGGCTAAACCAACAGCACCAAACTCCTTTACTTACAGCAGGATGCTGCACTGGTCCCAGCAGGCTCAGCACACCATGTGCTGGCACAGGTCAGGCTCCGAGCACTGTGCCCCTTCCTGACACATGCAGAGACCCACTTAGGTGCTGGGATGATGCTTTTAGGTACCACACTCTCTGCTTGATCCCTGCAGGGGTTGGGACGGTCCTGTGCCCTGTGCTGGAGCTACAGCAAGTCACTGCAGCCAAACTGTGCCTTTTAGCGTGAAGATGCTCAATCTGAGGTTTAGGGGCCTGATTCCTGCTGTATGTTCCCATATTGCATCCTAGGTCACCCAGATATAAGACGGAGTTGTCCTCATTTGTCCCCAGCCCAGTATTCACACAGCAGATTTGCTACCCGTTCCCTGTTGTTTCCCTGCTGTGTTGCAGCTGGTACTGAGAAGCGAATAATGGCAGTCCTTTGTCCTTCTGGCAGCTTGCACAGAGCTGAAACTGGTCTTGAGGAGCGTACGTGTTGCTGAGGAGTACTGAGAAGTGTGGGTGGAAGTGTAGAAGGGATCACCCCACCAGTGCTGGAGTTCAGAGGATGCCTGAGGTGCCCATCGCTTTAGAGTGAGACCTCTTGGAAGCTGTTTTGTAGCTGGATGTGTGAACTGGGAACACTCTGCATTCACATCATCGGTTCCTAAAATTCCTTGTCTGAGAGATGAAGAGCCTTCTGTGGTGTTGGTGAGCAGCCCAGCTCGGCTGTGGCTCCTAACCTGTCCTGGTGAAACAGTGGTCGATGATGCTCAGGATCAAAATGATGGTGAGGAGGAGCTGGGCTGAAGGTGTGGGTTTGCATCGGAGTGATTCAGCTTTCCTAGAGCCCTGGCAGGCTGACGACAGCCGTGCTGCACTTCACATGCTCTGCAGCAGCATCTGCACAGGGCTCAGGTCCTCAGACACAGCTCCTCCCTGAAACCAGTAGCACTCCAGCACCAGCAGCAGTGGTTTCTGCTCGCAGCTCTGCAGCCCCAAGGTCGTGCTTTATGGGCACTTCTTGTTGGTAATAAACACGTTGTGTTTGCAGAACCCCCTGTTGGAATTAAACAAACTCTGCCTTGATTATAAATGTAGAACAAAGCCTCACAGCAAGCTGGGGTGGCTGGTGGCCGTGACATGCGGAATCTCAGTTGGAATAGCAGTCCTTTTCCAGCTGAAGAAGGGCCTGTAAAAACCAATAGCTCTTTTTTTCATCTCCTTTCCTGCAGTGCACAAACATCCACACGCATTTATTCTAAATTTGGTAGAAATTACAGTTTTCCCAACCCAAAGCATTTGTGCCAGGGTCAACCAGGAGGGATTTCTAAGGCTGATGTGTTAATCCCTTGAAGACTGGAGCTGAGAACAGAGCAGCTGCATGGCCATGGCCACCCCGCTGCACTGCAGCAGTGGTGGAGGTGGGATGCTGCAGGAATGCTTTGAGCCTGGATGCTGGGTCTTGGTGGCTCCCAGGAGATGGGAAGGGCTTTAGGGGGACCTGGAAAAGCTGCCATGAGGAGAATGACCCAAACCTGCCCCGTGCTGCTGAGTCTCCTCCTCCCAGATTAATGCAGGGTTTTTACCTTGTAGTAGAGTCTGAGGACCTGCCAGCTGCATGGTGCCACTTCACACAGATGTGAGGAAGTGTGGGGTGATGCAGCCAGGGCAGTGCTGGAGGCAGTTTGTTTCTCACTGTCTGATGTCAGGTCTGGTGTTGGGAGGGAGGGAAACAACCCACACAAGAAATGGAATTTTGGGTGTTGTTTCTGGAACTGTTGCCGCTGGTTTCTGAAAACATTGGTATTTGTGTTAGACCGGGGATTTTACAACAATAACATCAGGAAGCTCAGCTTCTGGGTGTAGCTTGATAGCACTGGGTTAGTCTTACTTCAGGAGAAGTCATGTTGCTCTTCACTTAAGCCTATGGAAGAATCACAGAAGAGGAACAGCAGCCACCAAACTGCCTCAGCTCAGGTGCTTGTGTTGGTGCAGTAACTCCAACAACCCACAACTAAACCTGTGTGCCTTCCCCGTGTGTCACATGCACTGAAATGCTGTTTTCTTGTGTTTTCCAGGGCCGGTGTACCCGAGAGAACTGCAAATATCTTCATCCTCCCCCCCACTTGAAAACACAGCTCGAGATAAACGGCCGCAACAACCTGATCCAGCAGAAGACAGCCGCAGCCATGTTCGCTCAGCAGATGCAGTTCATGCTTCCAGGTGCCCAGCTACAGCCCATTGTGAGTTGAGGTCACACTGCTCCATGTGTCCTTCCTTTTTGCTCATGAGGCCCGAGCCCTGGGCAGTTGTCACGCAGCATCTTCTAGAGGGATGTCTGATGTTACCGTGGCATCTTCTTGCTCACAGCTCCTTTCCTCTGGTTACTCAGGAGCTGTGAGGTTCAGGGCATCAGGTGGAAGGAAAGGATGCTTGACCACTTAATTCACATGCATCCCAGAAGTCGTTGAGTGGCTCAATTCCAGTGGATCCTATTTTAGGTATCTGTTTTACATTGGGGTGAGCATGCTGGAGTTCTTCCAAGAGGCCAGCTGACTCCTTTGGACTAGATGCATTGTACTGCTGAGCTAAAATTGGGGAAGATGAATCCTACCCAGACCTTAATACTTTTTTCTGTGCCTGGAAGTGAGACCTATTTCACTGCAGTCATCCCAGCAGAGAGCTGTGCTAATGTCACAGCCCTGGCACTTGTCTTTCACACCAATGCTGTTCTATACTAACAGCAGGAGAGATTTACTTCTCTTCAGGCTGGGAGAGAAGCCTGTGGGAGATGGGTGTTTGCAAAGCAGGTAGTTCAGAGAAGTGTTCGCTGCCTGTCCCTGGTTTTGCTTATCAGTTAGAACAGGTTTTGAGGCTGGAGGGCCCTGTTACACCAGGGAGAGGGTGGCTTGGCTCTGCTGATTGGTGTATCTGGGGGGGTGACATTTATCAGCTGAGTTTGGGTCTTCCATGATGTGTATTTTAAGGAATGTCAGAGGTCTTGCTGACATAAATAACTGCATGTTCTGAACGAAGAGCTTGAGGAGGAGCTCTCCAGTTGAAGCTGGGGCTCAGTATCTTTCCTGGGGCAGTGTGCACTGGAGGTGCAGTTGTTGGGTGAGGTTCCTTGTGCTGCACCACAGGAGGTCTGGCTGGCTCCTGAGAGGACACTAATAGCCTGAAGGCGTAACAGCTTGTGCACCAGCCTGCCCTTTCCTAGGGGTGTCCCAACAACAGTTGCTTAAGCTCTTATCTGCTGGGATCTTTGCACCTCTTTCTTGGAGTTCCAAAGTACGTTTATGTCAGAGAGAAATGCTGAAGTCCCACAGAATGGTAGCACTCATTTCCTTACCCTGTTCCAGAAGCAAACCCTTCCTGTTCGGGGTTTTCCTCTGTGGGGAATGCCGAGTGGACGCTCTTTGGCTGTGGCAGTTCAAAACATCTTTGGGATTTCCTCTTTGGAAAGTTCCCATCTTCCCATTTTGCAACCTTGCAGGTCCAGTTCACGCCTGCGGTTTCACTCGTGCCTTTTAAATTGCCTCTGAGACTGAATCTGGTTCATGGTCTTGTTGCAGAGGTAACTTGTCTGATGAGAAAGGTCCCTGGTTTCTGCACTGTGCCACAAGGGAGACATGGGCAAAGGAGAGAAGTAAAACCTTTGTTCTGCAGGGACTGCTCCCTTCTTGCTTTCCCACACTTGGCTGAGGGTAAACCAGCTCTGGGTCTGACTCCTGCTGCCCAACTGGCTCCACACCACTTTCAGGACAAACAAGAGGTTGCTCTTCCAACTGCCTTTGATTCCCAAAGATGCTGCTGGTGGAAACAGGCTCTGAGAAGGTTTTTCCCCTCTAAATGAGCAGGGTGGGGCCTCCTCCTGGCTACGCAGGAGAGCCTTCAAAGCAGGAAGTGTTGTATCAGATGCAGCAGAAGAGCAAATCCCATGTGATCAGAAAGCTGATCAACTGGATGCCTGCTTTAGTGGGACGCGTGCCAGGGAAGAGATTGGGAACAGCGAGCTTGGGAGCAGCGTGCTCAAGAGCACCAAGCAGTAGCTGAATGCTTGGATGTTTTAGAGGGCATTTTCACCACTGAAGTTACTGAGTTAAACCAAGCCATCACCCACACCCCGCAGCAGCACCCTGCACAGCAGTGTGTCACCCCCTTCCTGAGCTGGCACCGAACGTATGTGTCTGTGAGCTCAGCATCCACCACCAGCCCTTCTCACATCACCAGCAAGAGCTCATCGTGCTGCTGCCGCCGGAGCCCACACCCTGCTGATGGGGCTTAGTGAAGGTGGTGCCGACCCCGAGCCCGCTGGGTGTGAGCTGGGGTTTGCTGCTGTGAGCTCATCCCTCTGAGGTCTCAGGTTGCTCGCTGGTGTCGCTGCTGACCGTTCGTGCAGAGTCACATGGATGGTGCCTGAGATGCAGTTTTAAGCAGAGTGCTTCATCCAGCACTTCCAAACCAGGCTGCCAAGGGCACGGTATTTGCTCAGCATGGTGTATTTGTCTGCCAGAGACCTTGAAGAGGCCACAAGGATGGTGCCAAGTAGGAAGACTCCAGTAAAGTTTTGACTTTGGGAAGCCCAAATTCACCTTGACTGCTGGTTGAGCTGTGCTGGAAGCTCTCTGGGATGGTTGTGTCTCTGTCTGCTGACTCTGTAAAAGGTTGAAGGTAGATAGAGCTGGGCACTGGCATTGATACAAGAGCCATTTTGGTCAGTGCTTTCTCTGGTTTCTCAGATACGCCAGAAGTGCTGCACCCTGGGCCTGTTACCCGCTCAGTTCTGCTTTATCCCTTTGCGGCAGTGTGGGACAGACCTTTGGAGCTGGCCATGGAGATGCTTCAGCACAAGCTTCAACCTGACCCGGTGGAGCAGGGCAGTGGCTGCTGTGTGTGGTGCTGACATGAGCTGTTCCTGAGCGGGCAGTTGGGTACAGCACAGTGATGGTGCCTCCACTTCTGCCTGCAGCTGCCTTTGCTGCTGCCCTGGGGTGGTGTTTCCCCCATCTTTGCCTTCAAGCTCTTCATCATCTTCATTACAAGGGAGATACTGAGGTGCTGGAGCAGGTGTTCACACCCCATGGAGACGAGGCCTCAGTGCCATGGGTTAGGGGTGGCCTTGGCAGTGCTGGGAACGGTGGGACTGGAGGAGCTGAAAGGGCTTTTCCAACCTAGGTGATTCTAGGATTCAGTGATCTTTTCTTCCTGTCAAGCTCTTGACAGCTGTGATCAGCCATGTCCCTGCAGATACCCCAGCCTGTAACACAGCTCTGTGTCCCCTGTGGGGCAGTGGGACCCTGCTGCCACCCCTTGGTGCCGGTGGAGGGGTTGAAGCACAGAGTGAAGAACTTGCTTGGGCAGTGATGCTTGGAACAAGTGCTGGAGCAGATTTCAGCAGGTGCTTGGGGCATGCATTTGTTCCATGCAATGAAAACCCATCCATCTCTCAGGCTCTAGTCAAAGACATGCTAGGAATGAGCAAACACATGTGCCCTGGCCCACCTGGGGGCTGGTGTCTGCCAAGAGACAGTGCTGTGGGGCATTAACACCTGACTTTACAGCAGCCCATAAAGGAGAAATCTTTAGAGCTGGAAGTGTGTCTGTGATCTGGTTGAGGAAGCAAGCATCTGTGGCAGTAGGTAGCTGATGCTTTGGCTAGTTGGTTTCACTCTGGCATGCTCAGCCTTCGTGTTAGAGGGTGGTTTTACAGCCAGCCCCATGCAGTTGCACTGGGGAACACAGGTTTCTTTCTTTTACTGGCCAGCATCAATTGTGCTTGCAATCTGGGGGCCTTCATCCTTGTCAGTGTGAGATCTTTATCTTCTACATTTCTATCACCAGACTGTAATAAAAGCTGCCACTGGGCTGGTGTTTTTGTGCTTTCCATGTGTAGCTGCTTAGCAGCGCCCTGTCTGCCCTCCTTCAGGCCATCAACACCTTTGCATTTATGCTGGGTCTCTCATTTTCAGGCTTTCCCTTTGGAGGGTCTGAGGTAACTGGGAATCAACACATCCTGGCTGAGGCAGTGCTTGCGTTGAGCACCACAGCAGCCTTTCTCCTCTCACCCATGCTGTGTTTGCTCTCCAGCTTTAGCACGCTTTCTGCTGAGCAAATTGAATGCAGCTTCTGGTTTGTTAACAAAATCAGCTGTGCCATGGCCTGTCTTGGTACTTGGGACAACAAGCTGCAGAGCTCTAAAACATCCCCCTTTCCTCCTTACGGCTCCTGCCTCCTTACCCAGGCTCCTTCTGTATTAGGTGCTGGAAAAACCCAGGGTAGATTTGCCCACATATTTGTGCAAGCCACATGTGCTGCAAGGTCTACTACGGGTGCATAAAAGAAGGGCTGACGTCAGCCCTAGCATAACCCTGTGCAGACTGGCTGGGCTGGAGGAGCTCCTTAAAAGAGCATTTGCAGTGCAAATGGTGACAGAAGCTCAGCAGATGCCACTGTAGTTACTGGTACATGCACAAAAGAAACCAGTCTGATGGAAGTGTTGAGGGAGTCACTGTGTTTGAAGATCCTGGCAGAGCTTTTCCAGCAGCAGAAGGTGTAACGTGTCTGAGAGCCACAGTGAACTGAAAGAGGGAAGAGAATTAGTTCATAAAGGGCCATGAACTGGAGGATCTCTGGGTTTAATGGTTAAAACCTCCCATCAGCTGAAGCAGGTTTTACCTTGGACTCCAAAGAAGGGAAATTGGGAATCTCTGCCAGGGAGAGGATTATTCTGCTACACTTGAAGTGCCCAGCACTGCTGATTCAGGAGGCTGTCTCCTCGCTGAGGCAGAAAGAGGGACATGTGCTGGCAATGACCTGTCATCCCCTTTCCCATCAGCTCAGGAGCTGTTTGCTGTCACTCTGACCTTAGGAAGAGGCCATCATTAAGCTAAAGAGAGATCAGAACAGCTTGGCTGCTGTTCCTGTGGGCTGGCTGCTTTCAGATCGCAACAAGCAGGGTAGGAAGGGTTGAAGATGCACACGTTGTCCATGTGCGGTTTCTTTTAGAAGCCCCCAGGACTAAAAGTACCAAAATAAAAGCAAGGAGGGGATGATGTGTGTGGCCAGAAAACCCACCCCAGGCCATTTTGTAAACCCACTTGTGTTTATTGCCAAGTAGAGGCTGTAGTTACCAAGGACAGCATCGCCTGGGCCTGCAAACAGGAGCAGCTTTAACTGTAACCCAGAGCTGGCAGTGGAGCCTGGAGGAGAGAAGGCGCTAGAGAGACCTCAGAGCGGCTCCAGTGCCTAAAGGGGCTCCAGGAAGCCTGGAGAGGGGCTTTGGACAAGGGCCTGTAGGGACAGGCCAAGGGGAATGGCTTTAACCTGCCCAAGGGGAGACTGAGATGAGCTCTTAGGCAGAAGCTCTTCCCTGTGAGGGTGCTGAGGCGCTGGCAGAGGGTGCCCAGAGAAGCTGTGGCTGCCCCATCCCTGGCAGTGTTCAAGGCCAGGTTGGACACAGGGGCTTGGAGCAAGCTGCTCTAGTGGAAGGGGTCCCTGCCTGTGGCAGGGGTTGGAGCTGGAGGAGCTTTGAGGTCCCTTCCAGCACAAATCACTCTGGGGTTCTGTGAAATAGTGGATGGGGTTATCTCCTTCCAGGTTGTATAGCTGCAGTTTACGTTGGGACACCCGTATGGGGACAGCTTTGCAGTGTAGACATCCAGAAGCTGAGACATTTGTTTGGGAATGAGAAGTCTGTTTAATTTGGGCCTGCCGTAATTGCTGGCACGAAATCCTTAATTGTGTCATTAAACTGTAAAGATCATCAATATGCTTTGATCTGACAAATAAAGATGCCTTGTGTTCCTGTGAGTCACTATCTGAGTCAGGAGGAGCGAATGGATCACAAGGAAATGGTGGTAAATGAATAGATTGGAGAGCCCAGCATCTGATACTGCAAATCAAATTGTCTAAAAGGATTGATTTGATGCAAGGCTTTGGTGGGTAATCCAAGACACAGCTTTTTAGCTAATGTTCTGTTTTTCTTCTTTCCATCCCCAGACAACGTTTCCTGTGACTCCATCGCTTGCAACAAGCCCCACGATGGCTTTTAGTCCTTACCTGAGTCATGTTTCTCCTGGGATGGGATTGGTTCCTGCAGAGCTGTTACCAAATACTCCTGTCCTGGTTTCTGGAAATCCTACTGTTACAGTACCAGGAGGCTCTGCTGGGCAGAAACTGATGCGTACGGATAAACTGGAGGTATTTGGATGTCTGATACGATGCTGCTGATGGGAATGAACAGGGCGTGTGGTCCCAGCTACTGCTCTCTGCTAGAATGACTTGATGCAGCACAGTGCAGAGTTTAACCAGCAGTTTTCCTAACGCAGGGCTGCTCCTCTGTGCTTGAGCAGATTCTCATGCAGGGCCTGATTGCAAATCCTTGAAAGTCCCTGGGAATTTGGAAATACTCTTGTGATTGCCGTGGGTGTTGGAGCAGGCTGGGATTGTTGTTTTCTGTGCTTTAAAAATGCAAGTGGAGGGTTTGCCCTTTCACTGAGCTGAGTGGGAGCCGTTTTGGGAGTACCAGACACTTCCCTTGTGTAGAGGTGGCTTTACTGAGCTTATACAGAAAGCTTTCAGCATTGCACTGTTGGGAGCTGCGAGCATGGGGCACTGGAAGGATGTCTCTCTCTCCCCATGCTTGGCTGGGCTTGCTGGGACTTGGTGTTGGAGGAGTTGCAAATGTCTTTCAGACCTTAAGCAGAGGCTCTGCAGGACATAAAGGCTGAGGACCTGAATTCAGAGATCCCTGCAGGTGTAAATTATAACACAGGGAAGGGTATCATTTGAAAGCATGTTGGTTTGTGTTCTTTCTGCCAGCTTGCTGACAGCTCACCTTTCTCCACACTCAGTCTTGTAGTGCACAAGTACATAACCTACACCACCAGCTGTAGCCCTCAGCAATTCCCCTCAGTTCCTCAGAGAAGGAAACATTTTCTCTGCTTTTGATGCTTCAGTGGTCATAACTTAGGAGGATCTTCAGGATATTCATAAAGCCAGCAGTTCTGGCAGCACCTCCCAAGCACACTGCAGTGTGATCAAATGCACTGTCACTAATGCCGCTGTTTTATTGTGGAGGGCAGTGAGATTACTTATGTGAAAGAGGCTACTCATATTTAGGAACACGTACTCATTGCAGGTAACAGCAGCATGGAACATTTAGAATGAAAGGGTCTACCCAGGAGCCTGCTGCATAAGAAACACATAACCCAGGTGTTAAACACAAGTGGCAGAGTTGTAACATTGAAGCTTTAGAGGCAGGGGAGAAATCCTGAGCTCCAGAAGTTCTGGTGAAACAACGTTGACTTCCTGAGGTGGTTTTCCATTCTGTACAAGTTCTGTATTTCCCTTGTGCTTGGTCATAGGCCCTGATAATGTTGTGGGGTTCATCCTGAACCAGTTGTGAGTAGCACCAGTCGTGCCTGTGACCCGTGTGCTGCCTAAGCATGGGTGTAGAACACACACGTGGTTTAATGTAGCCAGCTGAACTGATACTCCATGTTTTGAACAGACTGAGGAGTGAGTTGATGTTCACTGTGACTTCCTTTGAAGGTGTGTCGGGAGTTCCAGCGTGGGAATTGCACGCGTGGTGAGAACGATTGCCGCTACGCTCACCCCATAGATATCGCAATGATAGACACAAATGAAAACACTGTCACAGTCTGCATGGATTACATCAAAGGTCGATGCTCTAGGGAGAAATGCAAGTACTTTCATCCCCCTGCACACCTGCAAGCCAAAATCAAGGCAGCTCAACACCAGGTGAACCAGACAGCTGCAGCTGCAATGGTAAGCATGAATTCTGCTCAAGCTGTATTAACATCACTGAGAGATTTCAGTTGTGTCACATGTGGTGTTTGGGGGAAAACAGAGTGCTTTGTAAATGGCTGACTGAGAACATGTGCAGTATGAAAACCCTCTCTTCATCCCTTCTGTGTGCTCACCATAGCATGAAGCCCGGAGTGACACAGTGCAGCCTGTCAGAGACATGGTGACAAACCCTGACATGACATCATGACATGACATGAACACAACACTTGGAACCAGCATCTTCCCTGGCTAAGTTGTAGGTGTCAGTTCAGCTTTTTCAGTACACAAGGAAATCAAAGACTGCTCATCCCATAATACATCTTTCGCAGGGAGATTCTGGCCTGTTGAAGTCGGTAGCAGAAATTCCACTGACTTAAAAGCAGACAAGGTGTCAGTTGTTTCAGGTTAGCAAATTTGTGCAGGGACCTTAGTGAAGTTACAAGGCTCCAACAAGAGGGACCTCCTGGCCCGTTTGATACTTGGGACCTGATAAAGGTGGTCCCACCTGCATTTTAATTTGAACTGGGACTTCTCTAACACCTACAATTGGGAAAATGAGTCAAGGCAGACTGACCAGATGAAATTCCCAGCTGGAGCCAGTGTTTGCCATTGTGTTGAGTTTGGTTTAATAGCACCTATTTATTCCAGCAGTGGGAGAGCTGGGATATTCAGCGTGGGGAGGGAAGAAGAGGGCCAGGGGGATGTTACCCACATGTATAAATTCCTCATGGTGGAGGTAAAGAAGACAGACTCTTCTCTGTAGTGCCCAGTGAAAGGACAAGAGGCAATGGGCACAAAGGGAAATTCAGGAAATTCCATTTTAGCTTCTTTACCATGAAGGTGGTCAAACACTGCAACAGGCTGCTCCATCCTTGGAGATCCTCAGAACCTGCCTGGCTGCAGCCCTGAGCAAGCTGCTCTAGTTGACCTGGCTTTGAACAAGGGGTTGGTCTGGATGGTCTCTAGGAGTCCCTTCCAGCCTCATCTGTTCTGTCATTATGGTTTTATATACAACTGTTATTAAAAAGGTTCTTGTCTCCTTTAGGATGTAAGTCACTAAAAGTCTTCTGAATCCCTCTTTTTTGAAGACAGTAAAAGGGGAGGTTGCTCTGCATTCATGGTGAAGCAGATTGCAAACCCAGGATGATTCTAGGAATTAAACAACTGCTCTCCTTGTAGCATAAGTGTTACCTGGAATGTAATTTGAAGAGCCCATTTATACTCAGAATTTATTTGTCCTGCAGTTTATTTATGAGATTTCTGACTATTTTTATGACTGTTGAAACAAGAGCTCAGGTCTTGTTGAAAAAGAACCTTCTGAAATGAAACTCTTTGTGTTCTTCACAATTGAATCTTTACTTCACTCATTATGTAGGGCAGTGCTGCTTGACCAAAGCCAACACATGTTTTATTCATGCTTCTGGCTTCTGTTAAAAATGTGATTAACCTTATTTGTATGCTGCTAACTAGAACCTTTAAAATATTTATTGATGGCTTGTTGCATCACCCCTGCTACCAAAACAGCTTACATTATTCATTGACTTTTCAAGGTCTGGTGCATTTACTGTACCTGTTGAGGTGTAAGACTTTAATAAGGGGAAGAATGGTGCCTGGGTGTCTTGGATCACAAAACATATGCCAGAAAAATGGGTGTTCCTTCTGAAATAGATTTGGAATGACTTCAAATCCAAAGTCAGAAGGGATTTCTGAGGATCCCAGTCCTGCAATTACGTGACATGCACAAATAGTAGCTTTGCTCTTGCTTGGCTGAAGTCAATGCGGTGCAGGCAGATGGACTGGGTCAGGCTCAGTCCCCAGTTTAGGATGGTACTTAAGCATGTGCTTGAACCTTCTTTCTGACTGGTGGTCATGCCCTTGCCACAAGCACTCCTGCTGACCTCTGCATGGTGTGGGACTGCAGAACTAGGGCTGCAAGTCCACTTGTAGGTGCTGATCCCTGAGTGCTCCTGACCCACTGCAGCAGGCAGTGGAGCAGCTCTGGAGCATGTGTCCCACAGTGACATTTCCTCACTTCTAAAACTCACTCAAAACAGAGAAAAATAGAAACAGAGAAGCTGTGGCTGCCCCATCCCTGGCAGTGTTCAAGGGCAGGTTGGACACAGGGGCTTGGAGCAAGCTGCTCTAGTGGAAGGTGTCCCTGCCCGTGGCTGGGGTTGGAGCTGGAGGAGCTTTAAGGTCCCTTCCAACACAAACCAGGCTGGGGTTCCATGAAAACAGGTGATGAGCCTGTTCCATGTCTTCTTAAGACATTGTATAATGCATTCACTTGTTTGTTTGTTTGTTTTCTCTTTGCCTCCCCAAACGTTGCTCTCTCTTGACACCTCTGCTTGCTGGTTTGGTCCCTGTGCTTGTCTCCCTCTCCAGCTCTTTGCCGCCCTGTGCTCTCTGCCTGCTAATTAACCCTCAGCCAACTGTCACATCAGCAGCTGTGGAATTAAAGCTGTAGATGACATAAGAGCCTCTCACTCCTCACTGCTTATAGCTGGCACAGAGGCAGCCCCAAAGCCGGCACAGGCAGTGACCTGGGTCTTGTCTCTGCCCTCCTCAAGAGCCGTGTCTCTGAGCAGACTGGGAAAGCCCTTTAGCTCCCTTCCCCTGCTGACCTTCCCACTGAACAAAAGCCCATCAGATAAGTTACTTTTACTAGTCTTCCTGTCCTGAAGCATCTGAAGGTTTGCCACTGCCTTGCTGGAGTCTGTCACCTCTGAACCCTTCAGGAAGGCTGCGCCAGAGAAGGACCCGCAGCGGCGATAAGAGCCGTGTATAATCTTCAGAGGAAGCTGCTCAGCTTGCTTCTGCTGCATGCCAGGGAGCGGGGGCTGCCTCTGCCCTCTCACAGGTCATTTTGTATTGTTGTGCCTTGGGCTGAAGCAGCCAGATGCAGACCCAGCCCCTCTTCCCCACGTGCAAAGGGGTGGAAGTGGGATCCGCTCCCCGGAGAGAGCGATGGGAGGATAGCTCTGAGGTTATTGAATTGTTTGTTGCAAACTTGTAATCCAGGCCTTGTCTTGCAAAAGAGTAACAAGAGAGGGTTGGTAACCAGCATGGGGGCGGTTCTGACTTCCATCCCTGGCAGTGTTCAAGGCCAGGTTGGACACGGGCTTGGAGCAAGCTGCTCTAGTGGAAGGTGTCCCTGCCCATTGCAGGGGGTTGGAACTGGATGGGCTTTAAGCTCCCTTCCAAGACAAACCAGGCTGTGATTTCATGACGATGATGGAGTAAGTAGTCTGTTGTGCCTTGATGTCCCTATGGCCAGGTGCTTATTTGTGTGCTCCCTCTGACTGCAGTGCTGGGCTCAGGATTGTCCTGTAGAGAGCCAGTACATCCCAGTAAGGTCTCAAAGCCTTCAGTTGTTCTGCTTTTGGCACTGCCATTAAGGGATAATGGGGTTTTTGGGGTGGCTGACAGCCTTTGGCCAAGCAGCAAGGACTCAGAAGTCATTATGTGCCTGCCTGGCACAGTTACTTCGCTATAATTAGCAGGGTTTTTTCTGGGGCAGGTTTTGGAAGCATCTGAAAAGGAATGCTTAGCAATCGGGCACCGTACAGAGCGTGGATTTAAGCAGCAAGTTCTTCACTCACTGTAAACCTGTAAAACACCTCTGATGTATGTGGAGCTACTCCAGGCTCTGCAAGCTGCAATTCTGCCCCGTGCCTGAAGGAACACTCGTGTAGCCGCCATTAAATAGACGAGATGTAGATAGAGTCAGAGTTAACATAGTTGTCAGTGAGGGCTTACCTAAAAATGGGAACTCTTAGATCTGTACCTAAAAGACCTCATCCTGAAACGGGGATCTTAAGCAAAAGACTTTGGTGTCTCAATCTGATGTTATCCCATGTTTGAGTGGTGTCATTGGTACTAGCCAGAAGAAATCTGGGAAGATGAAGCCCTGCTGCTGGCACTGATGCCTAGCAGCATTAGCAGAGGATGTGTGCATGTCTGAGGGCAGTTTTGCAAATGCAGTTTCTTCCTCTTTTTCTTCTATTAAATATTAAACCTATCCCAAACTCACCATGTCAATGGAGATAGGATGGAGTAGCGTTTTGCCTGGAAGTCTCTTGCTTAACATTCCTCAGATGAGCAGTCTCCTATAGCAAATTGAAGTGCAGCCTGTTTCTAGATGGTGACAAACTGTTGCAAGCTTTCACTTAACATTCTGTTGTGTGCTGAGCTTTGTAACACTTGAAAATCCCTTTGCTTGTGTCCTTCCATCCGAATACTGTGTGTTTGCAGCCTCAAACCTCCACTAGCTAAACCTCCTCCCTGCCTGCCCTTCACTGTCACCTCTTAATAAAACCCAGAAAACAGGAAGGATAACTCTATTTCAGCCATGGCTTTGCTCCATGATACAGAACAAGTAGGCAGAAGTAACCTGATTGTGCATGACTTCCACGTGCATAAGGCTCCCTGACGTCAGTGGGAGCGTTATGTGCCCAAGGGCTGCAGGGCAGAATTAAAAAGGCCCCTTTTCTGTCACAATGTGCAGAAAAACCCATGCTTTCTACTCGGGTACAATGAAAAGCTGTAAATCATTAGAAGCATTCCTGTCTCCTGAGAACCTGACATACTGCTTTGCTGTTGAGACATGCTTGGGTGAATGATGAGTAACTGAGAAAAGTTCCTGAGTTGGGTTAGTGCTTTTTTTACCAGCTCTGAACAGGTTTGACAGGCTGGAAGGAGCTCGGTGGTGTGATAGAGCAAAAAGAGGAGAGCTGTCCGTGGCTTTTGCACTGTTAGGAGCAAGCAAGCAGCACTGAACTGGCGGAGGCCACCTTCTAGGAGGTGGGAGCGGGTCCAAATGAGCTGATGCTGAACTGTGCCACTGGTGTGAGCAGTGGAGGATCAGGCCTGTTCTTGACCATGTTGCTCGGCCTCTCTAACAAGTGGAAATGCGTTTTACTATGAATGTAACATTACATGTGTAACCGGCAGCACCTAGTGCTTTACCACCTGGACACAGGGTTGGCTGCACGCTTCCACACGTGCACACATACATGTAAGCAGAAAAAGACAAGCATCCCTTTTTCCATGGCATTTGTTGCTCATGCTGACCTTCTTGGGTTTAAATCTATTGTACTTCTCTTACCTGGTACATTTTTAAATGCTTGTTGCCTGCAACTGCTCCTCATAGTATCCTGTCCAGTTGATCACCTCTCCCCTGCCTTTTCCTCACCCTTTTGCTCCCTGTGTTCCCAAGTCAGTCGTGCTGAAGAGCTCCTTTAGCACCCCTCCTCCTGGCCTCTGCCCCTCTTGGTGCGTTTGCTAACTGCTTACCTAGTGAACAGATTCCACCTACCACTTCCACTGTGACTTAGCTGCTCTTCTCTTTCCCATCTCACTAAGTTGACACAGTTGCAGGTGATTTGCAGCCAGGCCTCCTGATGATTTAATGCATGTTTGATCTACATCTGGGCCCCTCGTTTCACTCCACTTGTGTTTACTGACTCCCTTATCCACAGGCCCTGCCGCCTGGTGCACTTCAACCTTTACCAAAGAGGCCAGCACTTGAAAAAAACAATGGTGCCACCACAGTCTTTAACCCAAGCGTTTTCCACTACCAACAGGCTCTAGCCAACATGCAGTTGCAACAGCCTGCATTCATCCCTACAGGTAAGTGGCTCCCAGCATCATAGTTGTCGTTTTGATGACCTAGGCATTGAGCTCATAAGTAGATTTGTAAGAGTCCTTAGCACAAGAGTATCGGTGTGTAGTTTTCATGTTAAAAATGGATGAAAAGTTCATGTTTGTTGTTTGACTTTTCCTTCCCCCCCCCCCCCTCACCTACTGCAGTTTAGAGCTTTTTACTTTAAAGAGCCCTTCTTAGCCCTTTTGGTTATGGTTTGGGGTTTTTTTTCAACTAAGAGAAATGTCTGCATGTTTCTGGAATTCATACTTTCTGTTTCTCCTCCTTACGGTTCAGCTGGTTAATCCCAAATTAATTCTTTGACTCCTGCCTAGCACCCTTACGGACTCATGTTAAAATGTCTTGTGGGCCTCTATGCCTGCTCACTTGAAGCTGCAGGTATCTTTCTGAGCTTCTGTCTCAGTGACCTCCGTATGCCAGCAGCCATGGTGCTTATAGAGGGAACAGTTCCTCTTTAGTCAATACAAATGACATAATCCTCTTTAAAGGCGTATATTTCCCTCGTGCTTGGCTTTTGAGCAGTATGATAGCCTGAGCTTTTTAAAAGCAATTTAACTCCCAGCTCTCATTGTACCTTTAAGGTCTCAGAGTAAAATTGAAAGATGCAGTTCAGTCATTCATACAGGAGTGGAAATGTGGAGATGGCAGTGTGACTGCTGACTAGCCAGTTAACCTCACTGCAGCCAAGTGGCAGACAAAACCTGCGTAGGGTAGGAACTAGTATAAGTGGCTGAATGAGGAATATTCCAGAGTTGATAGCTCATTCTTTAGTATCATTATGATCCTTGCAGAGCATCATAAGACGATGCACAGCCCATGCGTTTAATGGTTAATGCTGTATTCACTTGGCAGATTGTATTTTAAGAAGTACCCAGAGTGTTTGCCTGGGCTGCCCCTCAGGCTGAGCATGGAGTGGACCTGCACCTTGTCCTTGCTGCTTCTGGGGGTCAGGGGAAAAGCCTTAGACATAGTCCTCTGGTGAGACCAAATTGTGTCTGGTGAGTTCAGAGAGTCCTGTGCTCATGTGGCCTTTCTGTTACAAGAGCACCTGGGGACGCTCAGAACTCAGCAGCTGCCAGGGTGTTCTTCCAAGAAAGTGGAGCCTTACATGGAGCAACAGAGGGATGCAAGCAGTAGCCTCCCTCCTTGTTCCCTGCAAAGTGCTCTTGGAGGGGATGGGCTGAGCTGACCTTTGGCAGATCTGTTAGGTGCCAAATGAGATGCTTCTCCGGGAAACACTGACACCTTTGGGAATGCCGAGTCCCTTGCTGGCTGCACGCTCCTCTTCCTCGAGGTCACAATTGTCATAAGGACACGCACCAGCACTCCCCCTGCTCTTGTCTCATGGCAATGAAATTAATGCAGGGCTGATGCGTACAGGTCTGTGTGCTGTCTGGGGACGCGAGTGCTGGGCAGAGCAGCACATTTCCAATCAGAGCATGGATCTCTGATGAATTGATGTTACGCATCCCCATTTTCCCTTATGCATCACACTGCAGATGTGGTCTCAGCCTTTGCAGGGCTCTGGCAAATGAAGCAGGGAGGGGAAGCAAAGTGAGCTGCTGCTTTTCCTCGTGTCTCCTGCTCAGTTATTGAGAGATCAGTCCCATGGAGGGAGAGGGGGAGTCAGGGTGTCTATTGAAAATGGCATCGTCACTACAATTGTTTCCAGACCACAACTGCCTCTTTCAGCTTCAACTGGAGACTTTGAAACCCCAGTGCCTGCTTGCTTGCAGGAGTGAATTGCTTTTGGAAAGTCGGTTTTAACATGAGTGTGACGTTCCTCTAAGGGCAATTTGTTTTCTGCTGACATGATCGGAAAGAAATGGACATACCTGATACCAAAAATACCCCAAAGAGCCCTGCTTTGTAGGCTAGATGAATCAATTTTAATACCAGGCTGGGAGGAGAAAGATATTTTCCCCAGAAATGCAAGAATTAATTTGGTTTGCTATGATCTCTTAAAACCGAGTTTAAACTACTTCTGTACCAATATGCAGAATCTGTTTGCATGTGCTTAAATACTGAATGCTGCAAAGAGAATACCTGCTTTTTAGTTAAAGTGATATCTAACACTGAAGCTTCACTAATGAAATATCCCTTTTGTTCATCTTTCCACGCTTCAATGCATGGTGTGCAGGGTCAGTTCTGTGCATGACACCCACTGCAAGCGTTGGTAGGTTTCTCTACACAAACTTCTCCACTTTTCCTAATCTGAAAGAGACTGCGAGTTAGTATGTGTCAGTGAGAACCTGGGTGCCTGAGTGGTGTGACTGGCTATCCACTGTCTTCTTGGAGGCTTAAATGGTTGTATCCCTTTTAATTTCTGTGCAGTGCAGTGTTTCGTGTGACTAATAAGAGAATCCAAGGTGATGTGTTCCCACCCCTGTATAGTTCTACTGCAGAGACAAAAACTTGTCACTTAAATGTCTTTACAAGCCATTGAGTCATCCAGCAAAAGGAAATGGCGAAGGGAGAATCCTGTTGGTTTAGGTTTTGTATTGGGCATAAGGTGGATTAGAGCTTGGAATCGTGATTGTCTTTGTGAGGCTATTTTAGGAGAGTGGCTTAATAAAGGTGCTAAGGAGGAACACATCTGGGGGTCAGCCCCTCTGCCAGAGCAGGGCTTAGACCATGGATTGGCTGAAGACTCCTCTAGTGCAGTGTCAGGTGTGCAAGCGCAAGGGACTGTAAGGAGGTGCTGCTGCTGGTGCACATAGGATGCAGTGAGGTGGCAGGGCTGAGTACGTGCTCATGGGTGCTGCAGGGATCCACTGTGTTCAGGCTCAGCATCTAGGTCTTACTGGGAACTCGTGCAGGTCTTTGAGGGGCCTTCCCCTCTGCAGCTGCTGGGCAGAGCAGAGTGGGTGAAAGCTGAGCTTTCATCCTCCAACCAAGGTTATACAAGAGTACCAGCATCCAGGCGTGCCTGCTTCAGCCAGAGGGATAGGGGCATGAGCAGGAGGCCTGGGAAGGGTGCAGGGCTTTTGGGGAGCAGGTCTGAAAGCTTTGGCAGGAATGGCTAAGCACTCTGCTCTTGAACCCTGTAGTGCAGGGAGGACGCACCGCTTGCATGGCAGGGAGCTGAGCCCCTCAAACACCCCGGGGCCGTGGCTGCTGGAGCGGAGGGGAAGGCCGGTCTGCTTCCCTGCCGCATGGCCGAGGGGATGGACGGGCCTTCCCACGAGCTCCCCAGCCCCACAGATTCCCCCTGGGTTTGGGGGGATGCCCGTGTGTACCCCAGAGCCCCAGAGCATCACTTCAGCCCCGTGCTCTGCGGCACAAGCAGCTTCAGGAGGCTGCCAAGCTCCCTGCTGCCACGTTGTCCTTTGGATGCTCCTTCTGCAAATCGTAGCTGTTCAGATGCATTTTGTGTATTTTTCCCTCTTGGTCCCTTCCCCTCTCCATCCATCCCCCCCTCCCCTTCCCGGCAAGAGGGGCGTTTTGCCAAATCCCCTAGGGTTAGGGTGGGAGGGAAGCACGCTGTGTCCGAGGAGAGCACCCTCAGGCCGCCCGCCGCTCACGTGCCGCGCTCCAGCTCTGTCCCGGCCCGGAACATCGTCACCGCTAGAGCGGGGCAGCAAACCCGGGGAGGGGGCTGCTGCCAAGTGCATCGTGTACCCGCGGTGGCTGGCGGGGACGGGGAGGGGAGGGAAGGGGACGAGCTTTCCCAGGCGGGCGGGGGGGTGCGCTTGCCAAAACGTCCCCAGCCAGAGGACCGCGCACTGGCTGCGTCTAACTCCCCACGGGTGCGAGCTGACGTGGGCTTTTGCTAGCACACCCGCCCTCTCCCCCCTTTGGAAATGTGTCCCCTCGGAGTCTAATACATCATTGTTCTGCTTATAAATGTACTAAGTGTTGAGAATGTTTTGGTTTTTTCCTTAATTATAATTGTAATTGGCTTTTCCCCTTCTCTCTTGTTTATTTTTTTTCCCAACGCTGTCTTGCTTTGCACTGTGATTGCATGCTGCGCCCCGATGTGTCCTTCATGACGATGTCACATGGCTTGTTGCTGTGATTCCTGCCACGCCCCCAAATCCACCACATGTTGCCATGGTTACCTAAACCAACCAAAACAAACAAACAAACAAAAATATATACCTATATATACGCGCTCCACCCTCCCGTATGTCGCTTCCATGGTTCCCCTCCGAAAGTGCCCATGATGCACGGTGCTACGCCCACCACTGTGTCTGCAGCAACAACTCCTGCCACCAGCGTCCCCTTCGCTGCAACAGCTACCGCCAATCAGGTTTGGCCCTTTCAATGGCTTTCTTTCACGTGTTCAGATCTCGAGGACCGGGCGAGGGCCGGATCCTGTGCGGGGTCCGGAGCGCCCGGCTCGGCGCAGGCTCGGGCGTGCGTGTGCGTGTGAGCGTGTGCGTGTGTGTGTGTGAGAGAGGGGATTGGTGAGGGGGCACCGGCCGGGCCTGCCATGGGCCGCAGCAGGGATGGGCGATGGGCAGGGTTGGAGATGCTTCTCCAAAACGGAGCACACACCTCACCCCGGGTCCTGGAAACCAGGCTGCAAACCCCCCAGCGCGGTCGCACAAGAGCTGCAGCGCTTCTGCTTTCAGTCTCAAGCAGAAATACCACCCTGAGCATCCTTCCCAGTGGTATTCTGGCATGTCCTGTCCCGGCTGGAAAGTGGAAGTGGAAACACAAAGTGGCCTCCCCCTCAGCGCAAGATTGGACTCTAAAACCTACCCCAAACCCCCCCACCGTTGGGGCTGAGGCTCTCAAATCTGAAGCTCAATTACCCCAGCAGCACATCACCCATCCCTGCAGAACTGCCTGTGGATGTGCAGTACGTGCTGTTGTAGCACTGTCATAAGTGTTCAGGATTCCATGCATGTCTGCCGAGCCATGATTCTCTCCAAAACTTTCCTCTGAGGATATTGAGTTGTGATGGCTGCTTCCGCACCAGTCCTGAACTGTATATGCACAACCCGTCCTAGTGATGCTTCCTGACAATTTGGTGTGCCACAGCTCCTCCCAGTTAGACCAGAGGCATTTCAAACACTTGGGGTGTTTTATTCCCCACCTCCCCCCAGTGCTAATCTTAGCTTTTTGATTTGTCATGCTCTCAGGTTTAGAGCGATTGCAAAGAAAACGGGGTGTCACTTTGTTCTGTAGGGGCTGTTAGCTGTGCCAAACCTCAGCAGTATCTCAGGGGGCATCCTCTAGACTTCTGCTAGTGCAAGGGCATCAGGCTTGCAGTCAGTTTGGCCTTGCATAAGTCCTAGGCAGTGTTTTACTGCTCGTAGTACAGCTCACTGGTCTTTTTCTGTGCTTTGTTGTTATGTTCAGGTAGAGCAGGTCTTACTCCTACTCGTACTGGTGGTGAGAAGAGAGCAGAAATTCCTGCGCAGTGTTGCTCTGTGGCTGTATGAGTCCTGGTTCAGCCAGATGGTTTCAGGGCATTTCTGTCTTAGGTGTAGTCTACGGAGTTAAAATCTGGGTACAATCACTGCCTACTGCACGAGGCATCAGTAGTGGTGCAGCTATGTTGTACTTAATGTGAGGCAAAGTAAAGGCATCTTGGGAGTGGATCCTGTTTTGTAAGACACTGATGTACTTGCTAACCTGATACTGAAGACAGAATGAGCAGCTGGATCTCATGACAATGTTTTAATGTGTTGTGTTCTTTGTTTTTTCTCTGCTGTAGATATCCCAGTTATCAGTAGATGAACTGAGTAGCAGCATGTTTGTTTCACAGATGTAGAAGTTCCCGATAGAACAGTAAGTTCCTTTTTGGTATTTCTCTTTATGGTGGATTGCTTTGTCCGAGGGCATCCCCAAGCAGGGGGCTGGCTGGGGCAGAGGGACCCCAGTGCCTTCACACACTGCCAGCTCAACAGAAACTGAGCTGCTGCAGCACAGGCATGGACCAGCCCAATGGGTTATAACAAGCAGTGTTTCCTTGCGTCTAAAATACCTGGTTTGAGGTGTTGGCAGCTTCCCTTCTTGCATCCCCCTGAGTCTGAAGCTGTGTTTACAGGTTACTCTTGCTCTGCATGGCTCCCAGCTGCCTGCAGATGCCTCAGGGATTTGTGCTGTTGGTGGCAAACTGCTGTGGTAATGAGTCAGCTGAAAAGGTGTAACTTCTCTCCTGCTGTTGGTGGCATATTTCCTTTCCTGGGGTAAGCAGGATTGGGTCAGCAGCAGCTGCTGTGCACCTGCAAGGCTGGCTCGGTCCGAGCAGAGACCTGCTGCACAGCTCAGCTGCACTGGGGGCCTGGCTCGCGGTGGGTTTCTTCAGAGGTCCTTGTGTGCGTTTAAGACCAGGGTGAATGCCACAAGCAGCATAACCTTCACCCTACCTGCAGATCCTGGGCTTGCCTCGTCTGCTGGTTTTCTCTGAGAGGGAATGGTGGAGGAGTTTGTCCTTTCCTTTGACTTACGGAGTATTGTTTCACAGCCGTAGCAGCAGTGTCATTTTTCCTCTGCTCTTCTTTGTGAGCGTTTGCTGATGTTCATGAGAGAAAATCCCTTGAGGGTTTCAGTTCATCACTGGATTATTTTTTTACTCCAAGAGGGTAAAGAGCAGTTCAGACAATTCAACAAGAGGTCACCAGAATTGCCCAGTGCAGGCCACTTAGTATACACAGAGCTACAACCCATTTCTTCCTTAAGTCACGTATAACAGGCAAGTACTTACATGATGGCAGTTAATTTGGTAAGCGGCTTACTAATGGTATCTTTAACAGTCAGCAGAAGTTACTCATCTTGATAGCGGACCTTTCCTTCTGCTGACCTAAATAAAGCACCATATGTATGCTAACTTTGGCCACGGACCCCTGTCCACGTAGGGGTGAACACCAAGCTCTCCCCATTAGCAAAGATGTTCTGAATGACCAGGGCTAAGGAGGCCCTGGTAGCCAGGCTGGCCAGCCAAGCTGCAGGAGACAAGCACTGGGTCCCTCAGGGGAGGCTTTTCACAAGTACATCCCAAGAGAGGCCATTTGCTCCCAGAGGAGGATTCCCTGAGCACGAGGTTTCTGTGTCTGTGATGTGTGTCGAGGCCTCTGGGTCCTGGCTCTTTAGGATCAGATTTTCTTGTTACAATCTGTGATGCTCTCTGGAGGGAACAGGAGCTAACGGGCCGGGGATGCCTGTGGCCCCCTCCTTAGTCCCTCCTACCACCCTCTCCAAAAATAAGCCTTATTATTCACCCACCTCCCTCTGTCACTAATTGCCTTGTCAGTGTGTGTGGGGCGTGCTGGAAATGGAAAGCCCTAAGTGCAGATTAGAGAGGATGCCAAGAATGTTATCAGCCATTTCACCCCACATCAGCAAACTAAGGCCATAACATGTTTTCTCTCTGCAACATACTAATGGCAACCCCTTGGATGTGAATGTATCTTAGAGCGGCTTTTATTAAAATACAGATGTGTGTCCCTAACTTCTCACTCTTTCTCTGTTGTTTTTTCTTCCCCTTGCAGCAGATCATGTTGAAATTCTGAACAGTAAAATTATGGAGCACCAGGACTTCTTGGTGGGAAGCTGCGCATGGCCTTTCTGTATATATCCCCTCTTCCCTCTCTCGTTCTCTACCACCTCTACAGTAAGCCTGTTGCAGCCTACATGTTAACCAAAAACTGAGCAATGGGAATGTCAAAAAAAAAATGAAAAGACAAAAAAAAAAAAAAAAAGCACTATAGAAACACTTAACAAACAGCGCTCTGATATACGAGATATACCAGTAGGAAATTATAATAGACTTTTGTAACACATAACTTTAACACACTTAATCATTTTCTGACTACCATCCTGAGAAGTGCAGCTGCACAGCGGACTGTTGGTTTACTGTATACTATCGATGGATAAATGTTTGTCTTGTTTTTAAAGTGTTATCTTCCTGTTTTGTTTACATCATAGTCTATTGATTTGTTTGGAAGTGTACATCATTATCAAGTATACTCAGTACCAACTTTTCATTATTGTTATGTCTTAAGTTTTCATATTCTGTAGGTTTTATGGGGTTTTGTTTGGTTGGTTGTTTTTTTTTTTTTTACTAAAAATGTTATTGTGGGAAACAGGAATTACGTGCTGGAAAAACACGACACAGGAATGTTCTGCCCTTTGCTGGAGTTTGCTGTTAGCGTCAGCTACAGATGCTCATGTTAAATGCTCCTTCTAAGCATTTAAAATTTGCCTTCAGATAGAGTGTCCAAACTTGTAGTACAAGGGATGCAAAAGGACAGTTGTCATTTTAGTGCAGCTCAGGGTATTTCTTTCAGTACAGTGAGCTGATTCTAGAAACCTTTTGGGGAAACCCACGTGTAAAATCCCAGGTTCGGGAACGATTGGCTCAGCCGGTGGTAAGCATCAAGGGATTTCTGCAGTTCTGTTGTCCATGGAAGTGCATTCTCAGCTGCAAACTGCGCACAATCTCTCACGGTGCAGTCAAAACAAAAGCGAAAGGTGTGAGGTGAGACAGCTTCAGTTGGGCAAGGACTCGTTGTGTTGGGGAGGAGCTGGAGTGGGCCATAGCCATGACTTAGCCCGAGCTGGGTGATGCCGTGCCCAGTGGCTTGTCTTCACTGAGCATGCTGAAACATCTCAGCCTGAAAACTGAGGTGGCTCTCCTTGAAATGCTGTCAGCGTGCACCAGTTCTTTCATCTCCATTTTCCGTAAGTGGGTGATTTTTTTTTTCCCCTGTGATCTCTGGCCCTCTAAAGCAAACACAGCAGTGACAAGGCAGGAAAAAGCTCAGCATAAGCTTCCTACCGTCGATAAATATTCATCTTAATGGAGCTCCTGTAGGTCAGTGGATTTATTTTGGCACCTTCTACTTGATCAAGAGCAATGTTTGCCTCACAACAAGGGCTAGTTCTCAATACCTCCTTTTCTGACACATGAATAAACTGATTTCCAGCCCGTGCACCCTGGACAGCCCAGCCTGTTACGCTGTATTGCTGAACAATCTGGCTGCAGAATGCATTTTGGCTGAGGATACAACCAAATTCATCCCTGTCATAGCTCTACCGTATCATTGGCATTATGGAAGAGATGGGTTTGCTGCTGTAAATCCACAAACTCCCTAGGAGGAGAAAGAAAATGGTGATTGAAACCAAGCAAGAGGCCAGCTCCCGGCCTCTGGGGGGCTGGCCAGCCCAGGCTCGTGGTGGTCCTGTGGGGTGCCAAATTCTGTCAAACAGGTTCTCTTTTCTTTTCCAAGCTCCTTGGCCTTGGTTAGAGACTTTCCTTGCCCCCTCTTATCCAGTGTGAGCACAGATAGTTTGCTAGATGTGTGTCTCCGTGGATTGCAAGTGATGGAGGGGCATGTAGGGCACAGCCAGTGTGACCCAGAGCAGGCCCTGACCATCTGCCCATGGAAAGCCATTCATAGCAAGAACTTTGAAGAGCCCAGCTCGAAAAGGCCTTCAGCAGGCTTTGAAGCAAACCCTAAGAGAGGGGAAAAAACTATCCATCCCCACCCCAAGATCTCCTTTATGAACCCCACATCTGGACAGTCACTTGTCCGTAGCAGTTCCCCTGCCATCAGCATCCCCAGGCAGCAGCGTTGTCTGAAATCAGTGACTCCCCTTTGTGTTGGCGACCACATCCCTGTTCTTTTCACCACTGAGTTTCTGTTTCCCAACAACCATAACATTGTTAGTGGAAAAAGTGGATTTGAGTACTTCCTGTTTGAAATTATTTGTGTATCAAACAAATGGGTTTTGCACAACCTGTGCCAGTGCCTCAACAAAGAACAGAACTGATCTTCTTAAGCCAGAAAGGATGCATTCAAGCTTGTATGGCTTTATGAGTTCAAGGAGGTTGGAATTTTTTCAGTGCTAAAAGGATTTTTGTATATCTTGACACTTTGATGTAACCTCCTCTTTTATTTATCGACTTCAACATCTGGCATAGATGTGCATAGAATGTAAACCTAGAATACAGCTGTTTCCCTGTCACATTTAAAGCACTGAAAAAAAGAGAAGAAGAAGAAGAGAAAGAAAAGTGTTTAAGGATTATTTTTTATTAAAGAGGTCCAATGAGGGATGTTCAGGGTAGTTATTAGGTGCCACAACAGTTTTTATATTGCTGGCAAATTTAGAGTTAATTTGTAAATGAGTTTAAGGAAAGAAAAGCTTGAAGCACTAAACTTCACCAAATTCAAAACAATCTCGGCAACGATGCCGCTTTGAGGTAGCACTATTTAAACTAGTTGTGCAATGAACTTGCTCTAATTTTCTTTGTTCAAGAAAGAAAAGAAAAAAACCAGTCGCCAGACTATAAATTTCCTAAATAGACTATTACAAAGTCACCGAGCTAGTTAGTGACTCTAAACAAATGTCATAAAAGCATGAATATCATCCTTTATTTGACGAGAGATGTATGTAAGTTTGTTTAAATCGATATAATTTTAGTGACATTTTTATAAGCTTCCCACTTTCCATGAACCTATATTTTTTATTTATCCAAAGTGATTTCTCTTTGTCCATTTCTCTCAGCCTTATGCAAACAATATGCAAGAAATGCTGAAACTTGGATAAAACGGGTCATGCAGAGGGAAAATGAAAGCTGAGATGGATCATTTTCACGGGAAAAGGTTGTTAGTAGTTTCAATACAAAGTACTACTACTAAACTGTAACATAAGCAGACAATAAAAGAGGGATTTAAAATAAAATGGATTCATAAAACTATTAAGATTATTTTTGTTAAATACAGTGCTTTTAGTAATTTGGAACATGGTTTCACAATCAGCCCTGGGGGGTGTTTTTGAGTCGGAGGTTTCGAGCTGATGATGTTTGGACTGTGTATTTTTGCATCGCAACAACGGTCTAGAAGCCAGGCCCCTTCCCCGAGCACTCCGCAGCACCGGGTCCTCTCTTGCCAGCCCATCCTCGCCGTCTCCCACTGCGCTCGGAGTGTCTCCCAGTGGAAGCAGCCCTCCCGGATGCCGATGGCCGGCGCTGGATGTGGGTGTGTGTCTGGTGGATGCAGCTGGCCGGAGGAGGAGGAGGAGGAGGCGCGTGTGCCCGGTGAGATGGCCTCTCCTCCCTGGGGTGGGAGAGCAGCTCTAGGGTCGTTGGGAAACTGGAGTCCTCGTTTGCTTTCTCCCTTGTACATTTCACAGACATGGAAATTGAAAAAGGTGAAATTTATGAGGAAAATGGAATTTCCCATTCCTGTTGAATGGATTTAGTTTGATATTGACCTGATTTTACCATGTGCCTGTTGAAGGCCTTAGAGTATATACTGTATGTTAAAGACTGTAATAACTTTAAAGAAAAATAGTTGATAGCCTAATCCAAATGTAAATAGAGCTACACCACGTTGTTACTAGGCTACAATGCATCCATTCATTCCTTCATGTCATCTCTCTTCGTTTCTCTGCCATTAGTTTTTAAGGTTTTCATTATTGCTCTTTTTTTTTTTGATATCTTTACTAACTAATGAATTTAATTTTGAAGGAGGGGTAGAGAAAGTTTAAGATTTTTAAGACATGTATTCAGCCCATTTAGTTCTATCCTAACCCCACACCGAAGCATGGTAAGGTATAGAATACAGTCCATAACTAGTTTGTATAGTTTACAGTTTAAGAACAAAATTAACTTTGTATGTAACTCCTACAATGATAGATTCATTGTTAACTAATTATATTAAGTTGTTGTTGCTATGGCAACAAAACTACAACATGGCTACCTTTGTATACATTATTTGTGAGATTTTCACATGTAAATGAGAAGTGATGTGTAACAGTATGAGCTTGTTCAAGGTACAGTTCGATACTGTCGGAGAAAGAGATGATTGAGTATTTTTAAAATCCCAAAGTCCCATGTGAACGCTGAATCCGTGGCTCCGAGGGTCACTCTTTCAGTCCAGAAGTTTACAACACATGGATTTAGAGTCAGGTTTTATAGCTTGTAGAAATTGTTGTGTGGCAAGGGTTATTCCACAGTATTTTCACTTCCAAAACCACCACAAGCCTGGATTTACCACGTAGGGACCGGTCTTTGCTTTCATTTCAGCTCCATTCGCACGGTGGCAACTCCGAGTTAATCCGTTTCAGTACTGTAGCTCCGCCTGCAATCTTCCTCTCTCCCAAATCTGAGCACTCACACGATGCGTTACGATCAGGGCTAAAGAATTAAGCATATGACTATTTTAATACTAATTTATACTAGCAAAAACTGTACATAAGAGAACCAAAATATTGTGGAATGACCCCGTAACAGTGTTGAAGATACCAATATGCTGCAGTTAAACTGATTCAGTTCGTGTACGAATGTGTGAGACACACCTTTTTTGCACTTATGTACATAGTCCACGAAAGAAATCCTTGGAACTTATTTTGAATATAAAAAAAAGTCTGTAATAATACAGGAAAAGTTTGTAAAAGAGATAGGTATTACTAAGGCTTTGAAAAGGAGGAGTTTTTTGCTATAAAACTTATCTGAAAGCATGATGTTGCTTTGCTGTTGTAAAAGCTTTGTAGTTTGCCATAGCTTATTATACAGCAGACTGCTACCAGGTCAGCTCCAACCTGCAGCACAGAGAAATGGGGAACAGTGCTTAATTAAATAGTAAGGTCACTAGCAAAGATTTGAATTCCTCTTTTCATCAGCCTGCATTCCCAAACACACCCCAGGGCATGCTTCTGATGGGTTGTGATGGGTGAATCCTATTAGGACTCGTAGGTCCGTGGTGGCACACAAGCCTTTTTTCCTAGCGCCTGATCCCGTTTCTAGTGGAAGTGTTTGTTAGAGGTGACTGTCACCGCAGAGAGTGTTTTAAATCCCAGAGGGAGTTTGAAATGTCACAACTTACTCATTTGGTTCTTTTTATTTAACTTTATGGGGCAAGGTCACAAATGGAAGGGGCTGATGAGCAGTGGATGGACAGGGGTGGCTGTGGATGGCCTTGGGCCACTTTCCTCTGCTGTCCAACAGCGATGGTGTTTGTCTGGGAGCACGACGTGGCTGTGCTGCTCGGTGCTGCCAGATGGGCGTTGGGGCAGGGAGGTGGAGGCTGATGGCGGCATCGTGGCCAGCTTCACGCTTGGAGGTTGACAAGCCCCGTTGTGTTGGCCACCAAAGGAAAGCACAGCTGTGGTCCCCCAGCTTTGCTGAGCAGCCTCTTGGTTCCCTTTCCACTGTGTTGTGGTACTGCCGGGGCTCTGCAGTACCGGGGGATTGTGGAGGAGCTGAAGTGCCTGTGTTGACCCATTTCTTTTCATTGGAATAAGTATGCTCCAGCAGGCTGGAGCAGCTCTGCTCTGGAGCCAGGCTGAGAGAGCTGGGCTGGGTCAGCCTGGAGAAGAGAAGGCTCCTGAAGGGGAGACCTGAGAGCAGCTCCAGTGCCTGAAGGGGCTGCAGGAAACATGGAGAGGGGCTTTGCACAAGGGCCTGTAGGGACAGGCCAAGGGGAATGGCTTTAACCTGCCAGAGGGGAGATTGAGCTGAGCTCTTAGGCAGAAGCTCTTCCCTGTGAGGGTGCTGAGGCGCTGGCACAGGGTGCCCAGAGAAGCTGTGGCTGCCCCATCCCTGGCAGTGCTCAAGGGCAGGTTGGACACAGGGGCTTGGGTTGGAGCTGGAGGAGCTTTAAGGTCCCTTCGGCCCAAACTGGTCTGAGGTTCTCTGATCTTTTCTGGCAAACCCAAGCCCTGTTGCAGGTTGGGGCTGAGGTGTCCCTGCCAGGAGCTGCTCTTTGGCCACCACTGCCGGCATCTCAGAGGTTCCAACTCCTCGCGATGTCAGCAAGTGCCCAACCAGCCCGCGTGGCCCCAGGGGGCTGGTTAAGGTGGGGGCTGCTGAATGGGAGCCGTAGCATCGTATGGTCCCAGCGTCTTGAAGGTGGGAAATCGGATGTTGCTTTTCTTCATGGGTGTTACAATAACCTAGGTTTTAATGCAAAATAACCAGCTAATTCTAACCTCCATGCTATCAGGGCTTCACTTTGCTGTAATCGATTTCCATAACCAAGTTCTTTCTCGTTTCCAGGATTGTGAGAGAAAAATCCTTTGCACTATGTGAAATGAATCGTAGGTGGTCAAACCTTTGCATTGGGGATGAGCATGATCATGACAAAAACACCTCTAAAATCTTTGCTAGTGATCTTTACTGACATCCTGTATCATCAGAAATAACTCTATTTGCCTCTCAAATGAGCTATTTAAACATGCAGAAATAACACAACTATTAAATAAAAGGAAGTTATTTTTCCAAACACACAACAGAGAGAATTACCTGACACCGAATTACAAGGTTCCAGTTCTTTATTACTGTACACAGATGCTATTTGATAGTGGTGGAAGCCAAATGATTTTGTTGCCATGGCTTTTGTATCCTAGCAGATGAGGGGATGATAAGACCATTCATAGATTGGATTCTGGGATTTTGTTTTTTCTTTCCAATTAGCTTTGCTTTAATTCTGTCTTCATTTTAAACCATTCAAATGAACCGAGACTCCCCGCTCTTTATTCTATCACCTGACAACAGATCACTGGTTCTTTTCTTCTAGAGAACTGTATTTTAGGCAATCACTAGACTCAAAGAGAGAATGTTCTCCTAAATTGTCCGGTTTGAATCGCAATATATAAAAGCATTTATACTGTGTAAAGTAGATCTTGAAGTACCTTCTTTTCATAGGCATTTCTGGTAAAACCAAGTAAGGGAAACATTAGATATCAATTTAATGGTATAGTTTAGAGAATATATCCAAATACTACCGTTAGCCCTGTGGAATTGTCAGAAGTTAAAGTCTCCTCAGACCCAGGCGTAGGCTAATGCAGTGTTCCAGTTCCATAACACCATAGTTCATTCCCTCAACTGCTACAACAGGGTGTACGCTTTGAGTTTCTTTTTCTTTCGGCCACGTTATATTGCTGTAGTGCTTGTACGTGCTTTAGAACTGTGCATAATGCTACTCATTTTAGTATGTTACTTCTCTATTGTTATTGGTTTATTTTTGGATCTTTTAATAAAGTGTATAAAATCCTTGGTTATGTTTTTTATGGATCCAGATCTACGCATTAATAGGAGTTCACTTCCAGAAACGTTCCCAGTTTACGAGTCCCAAACTTCAAAGGTTCTGATGTAAAGGAGGAGTAATGGGTAACGGATGGAGTCAATGTTCTATCAAAGTGTAGAGCAACGGAATAAATCTCTTGCCAGAAACGCACCCTCGGTGGTTGGGATTCTGTGGCCGGTGCCGGGCGCACGCGGCCTCTCCTGGGAGGTTCCTAACCCGGGCGAGACGTTTGCATTGTAGCCAAATAGAAAGGAAAACTTCCCAGGAGCTGCCCTTCGGTCCCTCTCGTGCCTCAGGCCTGCTGTGATGCGCTGGCTTTGGGTGGGCAGGGCGGCCTTCCCCGCGCTGCCCGGGAGAGGAGGTAACCTGAGCATCGTCCCAAGGCCGGCAGCGGCTGCAGGGCAGTGATGTGTGGATCAGCTCGTGCAGCGTTCGTGTCAGACACGTTCTGAACGTCCCAGTGCAGTAATCCCGTAGGCAGATCCCGACTGGAATTCCCCAGCTCTCCTCCAAGGGCACGGCTCAGCCCCAGGCTGCGCTCTTGGGCTGGGGATGCTTCTTGCCATCCGTGGCTAAGCTTGGGCCAGGCTCCTGGAAGAGAAGAGTGCTTCTTGCCGGGTTGGTTTGTTCCTTCTGTAGTGATGCATAGGTTAGAGGCAAGACACTGCCA